CCTTACATACACTTTCACCCCCTTACACCCCTCCCACCCCCCCCCCCTCGCCCTTTACCTCTCTTCTCTGACTGTTTCACTGAGCCAATCGCACTTTCCAGAAGTATGTGATTTCTGTTACTCTGGGTCGCATAAAAAGGATTCCTGATTCTGAACATTTTTATGGGTGGTAGCTTCTTGACAAGCTGAATTTAAATTTGTAGAGGTAGCTTAAAAAAAACAACTAAAAAAAAAAACAAAAAACTAAAAAAAAACGACATAAAAAAAAAATCAGCTTTAAAAAAAACTCTACACAAATCAAGTCAGCATCGCCGTCACTGTATATGATGAAATTATAACAAAATAAATTTGAGAGTGACTTTTTTTAATAATATTTTTATTTAATTATTAAAAAAATAAAAATCAGGTTTCGCTCGGGACAAGCGCAAGGCTATGTTGGTCTAGTGAAACAAGCGCAAAATGGGACATCAGCCCTGCTAGGGCAGGAGAAACAAAACCAAGGTAAGGAGGCGGGTGGGGGCAGAGCGAGGCACATGGCCACTTTCTGAGTCCCGTGACATTTCCCCTCATCCCTCCTCTCATTGTCTCTTCTACTCCTCCCTCTTTCGCTGTCTCTCATCACTGGTCTCATATCTCTCTGTTCTCTGCTCTTGCTGTGCCGGTGTGGAGGGTCTCGTCACTCCCTCTCTGGGGGCGGGTGTGGTCCCTGCCCCTACCAGCGTCATCGTGCGGGGAGGGTCACTAACTCAAATTTAGATCATCTGACAGAAACGGAGAGTCTCCTACTCCATCTGGTCCTTAAGATCTTCTGGTCTCTCACCTCCTCACCCCTGGTCTCCGTCTCGTGGTCTTGGCGACCGGGATGGTTCTCTAAGTGCGTTCTCTCTGCGTTTATTGCTTTTCGTGGGCACTCATCTATCCTGGAGGCGTCTCCCTCTCTGGGGTCAGCGGCTGGGAGGGAGGTGGGGGTTCTCTCCGTCTCTGGAGTCCTCTTTCTTCTCCCTCTAAGTCTCCTTAACGGACTCTCTTTTTGTCTCACTAACGTCATTCTTGATACTGCGCAGTCTCAATCTCGGGTCTGTTCTAGGTCTCAACTATCTCTGTGGAGCCGTCCTCCATCTTCAGGGTTCTCGCGCCCCCCGCACGACACCCCCCCACTTCCAGACTGTCTCTTCGGGCACTTCTGGGTCTCTCTCTGCCTTCTCTCTGGTACTCCCATCGCACTGGTCTCGATATCTCTAGGTCTTGTGGTTCCCTCTCTCTGCCGCTCCATCTGTCTCATCTTGTCTGGCGAGTCTCTTCAAACACCACATTCAGGGTATTTACTCTGCTAGATCCTCGATCTACTTCTCCGCGGGTCTTCACCTCCAGTGACGGTCTCCCCTCATAGATCAGCCCAACATCAGCAAATAACAGAGTTCGTCTAGTCGCTTCTCGATAATCTCTGAGTTCTCTCCTCCTGCGAGGTGTTCTCAACTCTCAGGTCACCCAGTACCCCTGGTTTTCGGATCTCCTCACTCTGGTAATGTCTCCTGATCTCCAGCAGGGTCTCCGATCTCCCTGCATCTGGGGTCTCGAGTCTCCTCTCTCGTCTGGTCCTCACTAATTTGGTCCCCCCTCCTATCACTCTGGGGAGGGTGGGACCTCTTCTTTCCTCAAGGCTTTGCCGTTCCTCGTCTCATTTCTTTTCTCCTGGTCTTTTTTGGTGGGGGGGGTCTCCTCGTCTCTCGTGAGCGGGCAGAGGCGTGAGGGAAGGGCTGAGGAGGTATGGCGGGATCTCGTTCTCAAAGGAACCCTCACAAAAGATCCTCTCTCCTAGGTCCTCTATCCGGTCCTCCCCGTCTCCCTCTGTCTCTAATCTCTCTCTCTCAATATCTACTCTCTCGGTCTACATTCTTCTCCAAAACGCGTCTCTCCCTCCAACTGGTTATCTCTCTCTCGGAAAGCCGGATCCCTCTCTCTGTGAGGAGTCCTCCGCGATAACACTGCTGTTGTGATTTAAGGGCTTTACAAAAAATAAAACACAACTTACAATTGAATACGAATATTTTTCTTTTCCCCCCCACGGATAAACCACATTCTGGCGAGATACAAAAGATCCTCAGTAAAAACCCCAATGAAAAAAAAAAACCAAGAGAAATGGGATTTCAAATACAACTTTTTATAGACATGTTGCAAGTGTTTGTCTGTGAGAAAAAATAACTACAAACGAATGGCGAACACCACATTCCTAATCTGAACTTATAAAAAAATCTAACACAAGTGCAAATGTTAATAATCGCAAAGGCCCACACAGCTAACATTTGAGAGACAAAATCTTTTTTTTCATTTCACAACATTCAAAAAACGAAACCTAAACCCTGTTTACCTCTTTTTCCTTTCTGCTCTCTCGTTCCAAAACTTAGTGGCTACTATTGGTGAATGCTTAAAATATAATAAAAAGAAAATTTACAGATGCATGGAAAAGGCAGTAGCAGGAGACAGAAAAAAATTTTCCTTT